CCTTCCTTTCAGGAGTAGTAGAGAGCAATAAGGTCTGCCCTGAGCCTCCTCTTTTCCAGACCAAACACCCCCAGTTTCCTCAGCCGCTCCTCACAGGATTTGTGTTCCAGGCCCTTCACCAGCTTAGTAGCCCTGCTCTGGATGTGCTCCAGAGCCTCGAAGTCTTTCCTGTAGTGAGGGGCCCAAACCTGAGCACTTGAGGTGCAGCCTCACCAGAGCAGAGTACAGGGGGATGATCGCCCTACTGGCTGCACTATTCCTGTTACAAGCCAGGATGCCATCGGCCTTCTTGGCCACCTGGGCACACTGCCTGCTCATATTCAGGTGAGTATCAGTCAGCACCCCAGGATCCTTTTCTTCTGCTCAGCATGAAGCTGGGATGAAACTACTGTGAAGATTGCAATTAAAACAGAAATACCTGATAGAAATGGTCGTGTACATTTCCAGCATGACCACGCTATGCTTGTGCTGATCAGCTTTGTCTCTTGATACGGTGCTCTGTCTTGACTGCTTACCTGTAGAACTTCTGGACAAGCAGACTTTCTCTGGCCAGGATAAAGCATGGGCAACCAAACTCATGCACTGTTTGTAGTTGTCTTTGTGGCTGCCTGGGGTAGCTTGCTTCATATACTAATGAAGATCTGTCTTGTTTGGTATGTAGATGGATCCTGAGTACCGAGTGAAAAAGTTCTTGGCTCTTTTGAGAGAAGAAGGAACGTAAGTACCTTATGTTAAAGCATTGATTAAAAATCTATTCTTTGTGCAGAAACAAGGCTGCTGCTTCCTATTAAGGGTAAACTGCACAAGAGTATATCTGATACCAGTGTTGGCCCCTCCTGTATTTACAGAACTATATATAAGTTCTTCTTACTGCTGTATGCCAGTTTTTTTGGGAGAGGGAGGTTCTGAAGACTTTTTGAGAATATGAGAATGTGCATGCCTGAATTCTTCACTTTTCTTAATTTACGTGTGACTTCTAAAGTTTAAATGAGAGACTGGACAACAATTTAAGTTAAATCAAAAGAGATTCTGCTAGAATTGAAATCCATCTGTTTATCTCAAATCTGGAACTTTGTCTTCTAATGCATGTAGGGCAGTATCTGTACTGGGGAAACTTACAATAGTATCTGTCTTGGCTACATGTGAGTGAGTGGTGCTTTTATACATGTGCATGCTTTCTTGATGGATTTGGTTTCTTTTGCTAGAGTTCCCTAAAGTGAAGATGGACCAAGTGCAAGATCAACAGCTGGAAAAGTGACCAACCTGGAGAATATACACTGGGATCTTTACTCTTCTGTGTTCAACACACTGGACAAAGTGAAATGCTCCCCTGTTTACAAGAACCCAATGTGGAATTTGCATGTTTAGTGCAATACAGTATCTTTATTCTTTGTCTTTAATATACAGATGTCATGTGGAAGTGTCTTCTAGAACACTGCTTCTGTCTCTGTGCAGGCAAGGCTGCATTCTCATTTGATTTTAGCATGAGGGAAATGTTCTGTAAGTTTTGAAGTTAATGCTCACTTGTGTCCATCATCCACTTACTAAGATAGGGAAAGAAAATGTGACTTCTAGTAAAACCCAGTAGTCTGTGGTGAAGGCTTATTAAAGTACTACTCTGTTGTTCTGATTTGATGAACACTCTCTTCAGCATTTTTCTTTGTCGTTGTATGCCTCACTGAACACTGAGGCTGCTAACCCAAAGTCAATGACCACAATAATTGAGCTCTAGAATTTCCTACATGCTAATATCCATTTTTACCCATTTTCAGGCCCAGGTATTTTGTGGCCTGATGAGAGAGAGACTGGCTACTGATATTAAGGACTGGAAGATGGCAGGAAAGTATGTTGATCAGAGTAGAGGAAACTTTCAAATCCAGTATTTTAAGGCATTAAAGCTAGTTAAATCAAAAACAGTTTTAGAGATGCTGATTATAACCTGAAAGCTCATGTGTGCAGTGTAGATGGCAGTTTGGGCATTTGCAGGTCTCCTTATTATCCCACTTTTCTGCCATGTTACCAAAGGATGAAATTCCTCCTTAGAAATGAAGAGGAAGCCAAGCTCTGTGGATGCACGAGATGTGTATTGCCATGTTTTTTGCACTGAAACAAAGGAATGTATCAAACTTTGCTATGTGGTCTTTCCCCAATAGTCATCTTGCATCAATGAGGTGCTGCTGATGATGACTGCGTGAGGATACTCCCCTCTGGTTCTTTGGCTCCACACGTTTAATAAGGTTCATGGAACATACCTCAATTTGGTGGGGCATGAAATCAAAGCCATTTATGAGATCTTAGTCAGTGTAGCTTCCTTAACTTGACTAGACATGCTGCTCAGCACTAGCAGCTTGTACCCAAAGAGGTGTTCCCAGGGAAGGAGGGTGCTTTACATTCTTTCAGGCCCAAAGGTGAAGGTACTCAAGTCCTTATTGCATACTTACAGCAATCGGAGTATTTTAGTCACTCCACTCTAGTTTCTTTTCCTTTGGCAGTGCTGTTGTATTGTGATGACATTGTGAGTCCCAGTGATTATTATTCCTCTCATTTTGTGTACGATCTTGTGACTTTTTGTTCCTTTCTTTCTTCTGCTAGTTCTAGCAGAACACATTAACTTATATTTCAGAGTAAATGATGTAAACCTTATTGTGTCTATGTCCAGAATTGATGAATAAATATCTTGTTCAATTGCACATTAATGGATTCAATAAAAAAGCACAACTATTTGTGATGGTCTGGGGGACGTTTATGTCTTTGGTGTTAGTCAAACAGAGGTGTATATGTAGAGTGCTGATGAAGATAAAGTGATTCCAGGGCTGCTGCTACCAGAGGGATGCTAAAGAGTTTGTGCCTGAGTATCGATGGACTGAATAGATCCCAAAGTCTGGATAGCTTGACCACAGGTAGTCCTAAAGGAGTTGGCCAAGAAGACCATTTTAAACCAATCAGTCCATTCTAGGTTTCTGAACCTTGCACTGCTGAGGAAATCCCAAAGATGCATGTATGTGTACGTGTCTGATTTATCACTTGAAGAAGGCCACGTTGGAAAACCAGGAAGAACTGATGGGCACAACCTGTTGTGTGGGTCTCCATCTAAGGAGTTTCCTGCAGGTGGCGAAAGAGAACGAGTCCTATCACATTTTGTTTTAGATGCTGTGCCTGGGCAAGAGTGGCTTTACTGTGAGAACTACATTGCTTTGAACAGTAATGGCCAAATTCTTCATTGCCTACCTTATCCTGTTGTTGTGGCTTTTTTTTTTTCCCCATGAACCTTGCAGAAATGTGACTGTCTTACAAACTGAGCTGCTAGGCAAAGGCAAAAATGTTTGGAAGTGTTGGGGTGTCTTTTTGAGAGGGAGAATGGTGTGGGGAAAGGGATGGGATGATGGACAAAGCTTCCACTCATAAAGCTGTTAAGCGCAAAAAGCCTGACAAGGGCAGACTTCTCAGTTGTGTGGATTGTAACCGTGCCTTGCTGATGCTTGTGTAATTCTGAAGGTATCACTGCTGCTGTGCTGGAGGAGGTGGCCCTCACAGAAGTGTGCTGTGTCCAGTGTGGTGCAATGAAACAGGGCTAGGAATTGGTAATCCACAAGCAGCGCTATGCAAGAAGCAAATAGCACACTGCAAGAAGGTGAATGTGTTTGGTTTGTTTATAAATTGGGGATCAGTATAGAAATACAGATTTATTATCTTTTCTTAAGCCTTAAAATAGGGAATTTAGGCCACTGCTTTTGAAAATTGCATGCACTTAAAAGCACTAATAAGGTGTGGGAGATGTTGCAGAAACACCCACACAATTATTCATTCACAGGAAAAGAAGTTTTAAGTAAGTGACAAACTGTGGGTATCAGTCTGTCCAAAAGGTGATTCAGTGACAGCCTGCAACTGCTTTAGTGGGGGGAAAATTTGAAGGTTAAAGGCTATTTTAATCTAGTAACCTAGTGGTGTATGCACATTATGGGATTATGGGAAGTCCCTCTATAAATAAAGACCTTAGTAGTCAGCTCTAAAATCTCGTCACTGGCTGTATTTTGCCATCATTGTCTTGCATTCATGTGACTGTCCCTGTGTGTAACAGGGTGAGCAGCCACCACTCCTGTGGATGTCATTGGGCAGAATTTAAAGCACCTTAAAAGGGAAACCATACGAGCTGGCAAGTGCATTTTTTTTTTAACCTTCTCTTTAATGACGTACCACAAAAAAATGCAAGTTGAAATATATTTTTCTCCAAATATATATATTTATATAATATATAATCTTAGTTAACTCAAGTATATACATTGTATAATAAATAATGCTTATAAAAAGAGAATTTTTCTGAATATAAAATAAAAAAAAATCAACCTCTACAACTTTATACAAAACTTTGGATACAGCAGATTGATGGAAAAAGATCTTCCATTCAGTGCTAGAATACCTGGCTACAGTAAAATAATTACAAGGCAATAAATGTTCTATTTAATATTAAATACCTTTTCTCGATTAAAAACAAAAACAACAACAACAAAAAACCAACACAAAAGGAGTTTTGTTTAAAGTCAGGTACTTGGAGTCTTTCCAGACGTAGAATTTAATATATACGTTAAATAGAATGCCTGTCAGAAGATGGCTGATTTCTGGAACGTGGAGGTTTCTTAGAGCTCTGCTGTGATCTTTAATTTTAGAAAACTAATGCTTATCAGGGTGTTCAAACCCAGTAGCTCTTCATCATGCTCTACAGAGGAGGGACTAAGAATTTTGGTCCGATCACAGGTGTGAGTGTCAGGGCCGTGTACTGTGCTCTCTATATGAGGGGTCTTCCATCATTTTATTGCTCTTTGCAGGACAATCTACTACTCCTTCCTGTGGACAAAGAAATGAGTGGAGTAGAAGACACAGCTATAGAGTTTTAGACATTTTTTGCAACTTCTGTGTTAAACCACTGACACATGAGAATTGGCATGGGAACATGGTTATGTGGGTCCCCTTATATTGGAAGAGCCTGCCAGGAAGAAGAGAATTTTTGTTTTGTTTTGTTTTTTAATTTCAATGTCAATACACTGAAAACATGAGCCCAAAGCAAGGGACAATGGGGTCAAGGAGCACTGGTGAGTGGGAAGAGGGACAAATGCTGGTTCTGCACTGGGATGGGTTATGGGATGTGTGCGGCCACACCTGGGGCCCAAATCCCTGCTAATGGCATGGAGCCTCTGTGCTTGATGTGGTCCCATCATGAATGAGTTGCTGATAACTTAAATCCCAAGGGAAGGAGAGGCTGTGCCTGGGATTGTGACTATTCTATGCAGATGGATAAAAGTCTCCCTTCCTCATCTGCCCTTGCCTCTCTCATGCTGGGTGAAGTGGTTTGAACAAGTCTGTCAGCTGGGAGAAGGCAAGAAGGCTTGGGCAGGCATTTCTTCTTGCTATAGCTTCTGTCTCCATCCATTGTTCATAGCAGCTAGCCTGGCAGATACCCGGTTATCAGAGAGGTGCTCTGAGCTCGCTCTGGAACATAAAAAGTCATACTAGGGAATGCCTGGTAAATGGGTGCATCAGCGGTGTGCACCTGCCCAGATCACGTCTTCAGCTGCCCTGGAAAGATGGCAGCAAAACCTTAAAAATCTTCTCAGCAGCTGCACAGCAAAGAGCACGCTGGAGCAGTGGTGTGACCCCGCGTGAGAGATTGCAGCTTTACCACACGGGCCCTGCTCTTCCCTGGGACTTGGGCCAAATGCTGGAGGAGCATCTCTGGATTCTGGTTTCCTGCTGTGCTCCTCAGGGGAATTTGGGGAGGTGGCTTTGGAGCATGGGGAGCAGAACGAGTGAAGGGGACACTGGCTGTAAGGCTGTGAGTGTACTCAGGTTTGTTTCTCCAGCATAACCTAGAGCTGGAAAGAAGGGGCCTGGCTGCTGGGGGTTGGCTCCTTCCCTGCTCCTCACCACAGCTGCTGAGGCCAGGCCAGCCCATGCCAGCAGGTGGGGGAACATGGAGTTGTTCTGCTTTCACTGTGTTAAATTCATTTCCACTTGAAACCCTGTATGAACATCTAGGTGGGCCAGACCTGCAGAGGAGGTCAGAGCTGAAAGCTGTGCGTGCTGCGTTACAGCACACCGATGGCCGTGGCTGTGCGGGCCTGTTCTGTCTCTGCTCTGTCCCTGCTTCTCCCTAGACAGCCTGTCATGCCAAGCAGCATGAGGAAAGTCAGCAGATAAGTGATCTCATGTGTCTGCGGTGTCGGGCCTAGCCTCGAACTGTCTTGTGTGGGTGAGGCTGGGTGATGCTGTGAGTCCTCTCGGCAGCGCTGCGGTTGGTGGTAGGAGGGTGTCTGCTCCGACCAAATTGGCCAAGAGCACTAGGATTTTTTTGTGCCATCCTCTGAAGTGTGAGGCCACCATGTAGAGGCTGATCCCAGGGCTGGTGACTCCCTGGCCCTGCTCTGTAGCAACCTCCCAACAGTTGGAAACCTGCCTGTGTTTACTTGCAGGTGTGGACGTCGTAGACACGTATGCACTCCTGGCAACTCACGTAGCAGCACCAGTGGAAGATGCAGTGACACTTCTCCTTCCGTTTCTCAGTTCTGGTGTTATGGCCACGACCACAGCACAGCAAGTCACAGCCGTCAATCCCATGCGAGGTGACATTGCATGTTCTGTCCCTTGTCCCAAAGGATCCTGTCTCTGGGTTGGGCTCGCAAAAATTGGGGGAGTTCTCATAGTAGACCAGATCCCGCTCTGTCGGTGGCTTGAAAAGAGCATACTTGGCCCTAAGAGTTTCTACCCATCCCCGAGATTCCCGGTGCTTTTCAACCACCATCTCAGAAGCACTGTCATATTTATCCTTCAGGTAGTCACCAATGGCCCGAAAGTCAGGCTGGGCCCACCAGCAGGTCTTGACTTCGCAGCTTCCCGAGAGACCATGGCACTTGCATTTCAGGTGCATGTGGTCCAGAATGGTCTGTCCAGGGGAGAGAAAACAGGCAGTCAGCAGTGGATTACAGTGCCGTGAGCTGGTTTTGAATCACCCCCCTCTGCTACCTGGATTCAAACATCTGAGCTTGGTCTGGAAGGTGTAGGGTAGCAGTTAATGCATGGGAGCTTTGGCATGTGGCAGAAATATCTCTAGCTGGATATGTAGCACTGGAAAAAACACTGCTAAGGTGGGCAGCTTCTCTAATCCTCAATCTAACGCCAAAGTCTGATCCTTTCAAGAGAAGTGTTGGGATCCTCCCTGTCCTATATGTTGGACAATGAGAGCCCAGAGCAGCTGAGGGCTGGAGGATGTCTCTGACACCCAGATGTGGACTGACCCCCTTGTCATGGCTTTGCTAACAACCCTTCTGCACTAGAAAAGGAACGAAGTTGTGAATCTAGGGTAATTATACAATCTCTTTCCCAGAAATCTCATCCATGTGGTGCAACATGATCACTGATTTTCATTGAAATTGTTAGACCTGTTTTTTTTTTTTTTTTAATTTATTTTTTATTTTTTAAACAGGAAACTCGAATCATTTAACACAAGTTAGAGATTTGAGCTCTTGCCCTTCCACTTCTGTCTACTGTATTATGGAACAGTGATCTCGAGAGTTTCCTCTAAGCAAGGCCTCAAGCTAATGTGGTTAAAACACACTCAGTTTGCAAACGTCCCCGAGCAGACAGCGGCACAGGTGCCTGCTTACAGCCAGAGTCACCAGTCTGGGGCAGGTTGTGCTGGGCATGAGGTGTGCTTTAGCTCTCCTTAACCTCCACCTTCAGGTTAAGAAACCTGCACCTGCAGAGAGTGGAAATGCTATGCCCTGGAAACACCCCTAGAAAGCTCCTGCTTGGGCACTGTTGCGGTCCAGTTCAGGAGCCAGACTGGGCCATCCTTGCAGGCATGGATGGCCTCCACTGGGCCCGCTGAGCACTCACCGTCCTGCCGGCCTCGTTATTGTGTCTGTTCATGGCCGAGCGGGCGTCTGGCCGGTTCTCTCGAGCATCTGCGAATTCCCGGGACACCAGTACACCAAAGTCGGCATCCTCGCTGCATCCCCCCCATTTCCAGCCGTCTCCTGGAGGCCCTTTGTGGTGGGAATCACAGCCGCAGATCGTGGACGTGCCCTCGGCACAGGAGCGGGTCACAGCGAAGGCCACACCGGCTGACGCGATGGCGTGGACAAAGGCAGACTCTCGCGTGGCTGGGAATAAAGAGAGCCCATGGGATTATCTGTCATGGTAGCACATTTTTTTTTTTCCTTCCCAACATTCTTCAGTGTCTTCCAAATCTCATTAAGTCACTAAACACTATTTTACTCATTTTGCAATGAATATTTTTGAATACAGTGCTGCTGGCTGGCATTGCTTTTTGAAACACGTAGGCAGGAGCAGCAGTTAGGAGAGAAGCGTGGCTCCAGCTCTGTGTATCACAAGTGAGGTATGTGATCCAGCACAGGGGACCCTGCTTAAACAAAATGACCGTGAGAGCTTAAAGGGCCTCAGGAAAGAATTACTGGAGTAATTAATAAATACCCTGGTCTAGTGGGAGGTCTCCCTGCCACTAATAAACTGCCTAATACCAGTTCCCAGTGGGTGGGAACTTGAGCTTTAGGGTCCCTTCCAACCCAAACCATTCTGTTATTCCATTCTGGGATTGTTTCTGGTCTGGAAACCCAAAGAGGACTAAGGGACTCAGTGCCTGGAATTAGCCCAAGGGGAGATGAAGTAACTTCTCTACATGCTGAAATGGAGAAAAGGCAGATACAGATGATACAGAATAGATGAACAATGCCTAAGCACTAGTGGTTATAGTTAAATTCATCTAGACTAAACGAAGTGACTGTACAGCAGTGGATGCTATTAGCCACCAAAAAACCTTCCTGTCACCACTGAATTCCATGCACGATGGCACCAAAGCTGTCCCAGAGATGCCGCACACCAGCCCGAGCAGCTGTGAGCAAAGACAGACTGTGGGGCTGCAGACTGGGGCCCTCCTCACACACTGGCTTGGATACACTGTCCCCATTTTAAATTATATTTCAGAATTAAGCTTGGACTTTCTCACCCAGAAAATGAGTTCTTGGATGAGGTCCCTTCTGACCTTTTGCAGGCAGCAAGAGACTGTCGAGGTGTCCAGCCTGCCATGACAGTAACAGCAGAGGTTTTTTCACCTCCTGGTGGGGAACAGACAACAGGATGGGGCAGGTTGAGAGCTCAAGATGGGATGCTGGGCCTGGCTGAGTCACTTCTGCTTCAGCTTCACGTGTCAGAGTATCTTTCCAGGCTGAAATGCCCTTGTAGAGTGGTTGAGCTGTTCACCTATGCACATTTAACTCACCTGGCTCTGTAGTAGACTAAAAACAGCTGAGGGTGTGAAGAAAACCTTGCAGTTGCTCATTAATTAGTGAACAATCCTGGAGGAAATCAAAGCAGATGAAACTCAAGTGTGATGAAGCAGGCAAAATTCTGAGTCTGTAACTATTGGCATTCTCCATGTACAAAGTCACAGCGAATAAATTTTGACAGGGACAAAGCTAGAGAACTCCTGAAAGCACTGAATGCTGAATAAAAGGTTAAATAAAATGTCCAGGATGCCCGAGTGGGCTGGGAGCTAGGAAGAGGAGCATGTGTGGATTCTCTGTGCTAAGAGAGAGGAAATGTTTCAGAAGAACAAAGATATACCCAGAATCCACATGAAGATGAAGGTGCAGGGGGTTTAATGAACTGTAGCATCTCTGTCCATCACCTCTTCCAACCATTGCCACGGCAGGGGGACTTTCAAGACCTCCCCTTCTCCGGTCGTTCTGTGGGGTCTTAATCCAGAAAGGATGTGGACTTTGGATGACAGCAGCCAAAATGCACATGGGTATGGGAAAGCCACCAAAAGCCATAAAAATGTTTACATTGACTTGATATTTCAGCTTGTTGGCTCAGAACTGGACAGTGAGATTGAGCAAACCCTCAGCAAGTTTGCCAATGACACCAGTCTGTGTGGTGCGGCTGACACACTGGAGGGAAGGGATGGATGCCATCCAGAGGGACCTGGACAGGCACCACAGCCATTCCTTCTTCACCCAGTGATGGGTTCCAGAAACATGAGGACCATCTGATTACAATGAGTTGTTCTGGGCAGAAATGAGCAAAGCCCAATATTGAAGTGCACCCCTTAGATGGCAGTGTGGGTGGCTCTCCTGAATAGCACACCCAAAGCAGTAGCTGGCATGAAGCAATCAAGACAGATTTTCCTAGCTTCCTGCTACCAGACAAAACCAAAGAAACAATACTGTAAATGAATATAGCCCTGTTGAGGTTCTCTTTGGCTGTTCTTGGTCCAAACTGCAGAGCATTTTCTGGAAAAGAGATCTCACAGCTATTCAGTCAAGACCTGGTCATGGAGAACTGCAGGACTGACTTCCCTGCATCCCTCATGCAACTGTGCTGCTGAGGCAGAGGTGAGTGCGTTGTCTGAAGAATGAATGAAGAGAACAGGGGAGAGGCCACCAAAAACACTGAAGACCTAGATCTAGCTTTAGACGATGGAAAAGGGGATGCCCTTGTCTGCTCTTAAGTGTACAAATAAATGGTGGCATTTTCCTACCATGTGTTCTTTGAGTTTAATGCCACCTCATGCTGGTGCTCTGACTGATAGCCCTTTGAAAGCAGGCAAAGGTCTAACTTCTTTGAATTTTCAACCTGAATCAGTTTTTTTTTTAAGCCCAGTCAATTTAGATCCTTTGTTCCTGAGCTCACATTGGTTTTTACTTCAAGTAGCCTTTTATGGTTCTTGCATTTATTTCATGGTTTTTTTTTTCAGAGCAAACCTGACATTTTACTATGTTTCAACATTTGTTTAGTTTTTCCATAACATGTTGCCTGCTCACTCATCAGACTGTCTACCCATCTCTGCATTTATTCCTGTGTTTGATTCCTCTCTCCGGAATAGTGAGGAGAAGCAAATGGTTGTGCCCAGCTGAGGACTGTGACATGAAACTTTGCTCCCTGGACTTGGGAGTCTGGGGTCTTGCTTTAGTGACCTGGATGCTCAGCTACAGGGCTCTGCTCGAGATGTTTTTGCATTTTGGAAGTAATATCTCAGTCTCATTTTTTTCCTTAGGGACATTTTTTGGTCACACTGGTTCAAAGCATCTATGGTTGAACCTTACTTCCTAGTGGGTCAAAGTCTGCATAGGTACAGCACCCTGGTGAATGACACTGGCGTGCTTTAACCACCCATGGCATCTCAGAAAGATGAGAGCTTCTCCCTCTGGGATAAGGTTGTCTCAAAACATCTCCAATGGATATAGTGGAAGTGCCTTTCTCTTCCTGAGTGCTGGAATGGCCCAAGGCAAAATTCAGCAGTCCTTGATGGCCATTTTCTCTGCCTGCACTCTCTGCACAAGGCCTTTGTCTTCTTCCTCTTTGAATTTATGCAGCTAATTTAGCACTTTTTCATTAATTCTTTTTATCTCCTTCAAAGTGTCTTTCCTTCTGCTCATTTACATTTCATCTTGTCCTCAAATATGGCTTCTAGCCCTATCTTCTGCAATGTGTGGGGTAGGAAAGGGAAGCAATAGGGATGTTTGGATGCTATCTAAGCAGCTCAGAGACAGAGTAGCCCAATGTACAGGAGAGTGGAGTTGTGCTCAAGGTGGATAGTCAGTGGCTGGGATATTCCAAATACCACTTCTGGTGCATGGTGCCTTGGGTACACTGCAGGAGACATTTCCAGGTGACTCATGAGTGTAATTTGCCTAAGTTATCGGGGCAGTATTCAATGGATGTGGGATGAAAACAGAATTTTTCCCTGACTCACGACTCTGGACACCGTCCCGTCTTCCCAGAGCAGGGGTCATGCTCTTGCCTCCTGCCCTGGGGAGGTATTGGTTGTGCCAGTTTTTGCTCCTTGGCCTGTGGTTTTCACTGCTGAGGTGCAATCTAGCTCCTGGAGCATCCAAAAATCAAGCCTCTCAAGCAAATCTAATTTCACCTCTTGTAGGCACTAGAAAGAGGCAACTCATGGGTATGTGCCAACCAAAGAAACATGTCTCTGATCTGACGTTGGGAGCTCAGATCAATGATGCCAAACATAGTCCTGAATCAGGGCTGCTCAATCCTGTCTTTGCTGGTGGGATTGTGCCATAGTTTTCACTTTCTTTTACTGAAATTCTTCTCTCCTTGCCATTCCTGCCTCCAATATGCCAGTACAGGTCCAGCCTCTGTCTGTCAAGGCAAAGCCTGTTTTCCTTAGTTATTTTTTACTGTTGCTCATAGGGGGACCACTGGGGGCTGTGGGCCACAGGTTGAAAATCACTGATCTAACTCAAATTTTTCAGCCTGACAAAGGCTATTTGGGTGGCCTGTGATCTAAAGCAGATCAGATTAGATGAGCTCGTGAGCCCTTCTGGCCTCAAACCAGGACAGCTTGGGGACAGAGGGGGAGGACACCAACCACTCTGCTTGCTGACGTGGCTTTGCTTTGCACCCTGAGGGTAGGGGAAAGCAACGGGCACAGGCTGAAGAGCCACTGCAGTGTTTCGAAGGTCTCTCAGTTAAAGAGCAGTGTCACTGGGACAGCGGGCTGTGTGACAGTGGCTGTGTCGGTGCTGTGGACAGTCCCCATGAGCTCAGCTGGGCTGCACAGTGCTCACCGGGCAGTGGCACAGCATGCACCAGGGGCCACTCGATGGCCACCGACCCCAACCCCTCCAAGCCAGCCCCTGCAAATGGTGTTGGGGCAGGGAGGGGGTGGCAGGGAGCGAGCTGCAAACACAAATGCGTCGCCTAGAAATTCTCCCCTGGGTCTGGGCGAGGAGCCGGGAGAATTTCCCAGAGATGAAATGAGGGAGCAGAGTTCCCAGAACCAGGGGAGGGGCTCGCGAGGGAGGATTAGAGCGATCTTGACAGTGCACCACTGCGACTGTCTCCCAGCCAGGCCCGTTACCTGCTGGGACACTCAATTTGCCATTGTTCCCGCGGTGTCACACTGTATTACCAGCATAATGCAGAATGTTTCCGCCGGCCAGCGTACCCACGGCACAGAGCACTGGCATTCCCCAGGAGCACCTCGTAGCAACGGGGCAATGTTCCCCTGTCCTGCCGTCACCCTCCAATCCCGCCAGCCGGGCTGGGAAATCCCTATTGATGGCTCTCCCCAGCCCCCCGCCACCGGATCAGAATGGCTAAAGGGCGTGTGAATGGTGCAGCAATTTGAAACGACTGCAGTGCTGGGATGGTATCGCTCGCCCTGCCTCACAGTAGGGGAGGAAGCTTAGCTCTTTCTCATCAGTATAAGCTTATTTTTCTCTCTCCCTCTCTCCTTTCCCTCCCCCTCCCTTTAAGCTGTTGAGTTTATATCAAGACGGCCCCTGATCCCACACACCCCTGTTTAGATGCAAATGACTGCAAGTGTCATGGCTGAGAAAAGCCATGGGTTATCTTGGTGCGGTCTGCCTGCCTTTTCACAGCTCGTGTCAGGGGCTTAGCCGAACGCACAAGGACCCCGAAGGCAGCCCGGGCCCAGCTGCTTTTCTGCACCTGGCCTGGCCGCCGTCACGCTCCTCACGGCCGCGCACGGCAAGCGAAGGACCGGTGGAACCTGCAGCGGGCTTGAGCCTGCCTCAGGGCTGAGGAGCACCCTCTGGAGAGCTGTCGACATCCTCCTGGAGACAGAGAGCGAGCAAAGGGTGGCTGCTTCACGAGGAGATGGGGGAAGAGCGGATCCCCTGGTGTGCAAGAGGTGGAGAAGCAGGCGAGGCCGCTGAGGCTCCTGCTGAGCTTGGTCCTGCAGGCCCAGCCCTGCCCGCAGCCTCTCCTCTGTCCTGGAGATGGTCACCAGGTGCCTGCGGTGCCATCCCGCCCCTTGCGCTCACAAAAGGCTCCTTTTGGGCCCTGTGCTTCAGCCAAAATCCCAGATTTCATCACTAACACAGGGAATTGTTGCTCGCTGTCCCAGCATGGCAGTGAGTCACGTGGCTGTTGGCTCAGCCTTGGCTTTGGTGTAGGACTTGGCTGGAACAGACATTGTCTTTTAACAAAAACTGACCTTATTTTAAGAAAAAAAGTGAGAGAGAAAAGAGAGAGAAGGAATCAGGTTTTTCTTCCCTCTTTGTCCTGAAGCTGCCCCAGACTGCACACCTGCAGTATAAATCATGCTGGAGAATTTGCTTGTAAAAACATGATCTTACCATCTTACCCCAGATTCTGGGGTTCTTTTTTCTTTTTTTCTTTTCTTTTCTTTTCTTTTCTTTTCTTTTCTTTTCTTTTCTTTTCTTTTCTTTTCTTTTCTTTTCTTTTCTTTTCTTTTCTTTTCTTTTCTTTTCTTTTCTTTTCTTTTCTTTTCTTTTCTTTTCTTTTCTTTTCTTTTCTTTTCTTTTCTTTTTCTTTTTCTTTTTCTTTTTCTTTTCTTTTTCTTTTTTTTGTGGCCCAGGTTAGAAAAAAAAGACATACAAAAAAGAAAACTCTAAGGAAGATAATCAGTGGCCTGAGGAAATCTAAGGCTTGCCAGCTACTGCTGCCCCTGTGAGCTGGAATTTTGGGTAGGGCAGTGGCACATGGGTGGAAACCAGGTTGTTCAAGGCAGAGCCCTCAGCAGAGGTTGGTGCTCAGCAGCCCATGAACAGGATCATTTCAGCCCCCAAGGTTTCTGCTGTGCTGTAATGGCAATGAATTTGTGTGAAACCACACAAGAGACTGCAGAAGGAGATTAGAGTCCTATGATTCAGCTGGAATGAGAAGTGAAATGGGGATGTGATGCGAGGCTGTGAGAAGACCCAGGGGTAGGAATCCCCCTGACTGTTTCAAGGATGGATGCCAGCGCTTGAATGATGTGCCCAGAGGGAGGCAAAGGCAAGAGCAACCAAGAGGAGGCTTCAACCTGTGTGCCATGAGAGGGGTCTGTGCAGCTGAGCTGCAGCACATGGCTCCCTTGTTTTCCTGCACTGTTCTGCTCTTTAGACTAAGTTTGCTCAAATGGAAGCAACTGTAATTAATATTTTTGTAGTTCCTTTAAAATGGAATTATCCCCAATTTCTTTTCAACCTGTATTAGAAATGATTTTCTGTGCTACTATAGTGAGAAATACACCTTTGAAGTTTTTTTTCTATAATACCAATTTTTTTTCAGTCTACCAAAGGGAGAAATAAATGAGATTAACCTAAATGTCACTCTGATACTTAGAAGTGATTCCATCCAGATAGTTATCATAGCTTAAATATGGGCTATTTTGGGCTTTTATTTGATGTCTATTGGTCTAGTGTGCAGTGCAAACTGCAATAATGATTGTGATCTTAGTTTGAGCTTTACTATTAATTAATGGTTCTTAATTTGTGGGGTTACACCCCTCTGTGTGTCCTGGCTAGGACTGTGGTTACCTGAAAGCCAACAAGTTGAATGTGGCAATAATCACTACAGGTGCTCAGGGTCTGGCTGGGTGTAAAACACACAGGTGGGGGTTGTATATCTTGATTCTGGGTTATGGGCTTACAGCTCTTGAGTTTGTTGTTACTGCAGCTGGGGAAGGTGGGACTACAGCCCAGGAGACAGTGATGTTATGAACAAACCAGATGTGTCCAGCAACCTCTTCCACGGCCCCCTCAGCAGGGACAAGCAGTGTTGGTCCCCAGGTTCATCACAGCCAAAGTGTTTTATTGGCAGGACAGAAACATTTTTATTGCCAACATTAGCTCTTAATTCAGCTGAGAAAAATGGCTGAAAACATTGCATTTTTCCCTACAGCTACTCATGCTGCAAACCTTGGGAATTGCTAAGTACTACTTAAGGTTACTCATTGGTACATAGATGAAACGAATCCAAATCCTTCTCTGCTCATTAATTTTCAAGGCAGCAGTGAAAAGACATTAGCACATTTTAAAAATGTAAATAATAACCACAATCAAGTGGCTTGGACTTTGATGTATCATGATTTCTGGATGATATTGTTTATTTTTAACCGTTCTACTTACATGTTAGTAAGACGTGAGAATTAATATATTTTTCAAACTAATTCCTAGCAATACAATCTAGAAGACTATTGATACATTATGGGTTGATCAGGAAAGCTGTATAGCAAATGTGCTCAATAATTTTTCTTCTGTCAGAAGAGTTTCAGAGCTATAGGTGATATTTTATTTTGTCAGCTTGGACTGCATGGAAATGTTGAGGCATGTTAGCATATGAGGTTTTGCTCTAGTCCCTGCAGCTGAAAGAATCTTAAAATATTCTTCATAAATTCAAAGTTCAGTTTGCTCATTAAAGGGAGGATGGTTCAAATCCAAATTTTTAGTGCTTTAACGATGACAGAAATGGTGGTGAGAGATTTTTCAGTGCCTGAATGCTATAATCGTTCTTTCATAACATGCTTAAAATTTTTAAGGGAAGTTAAGAATTTCTGATCCTGTAAGTGCTGAAGTTTAGGACATGTATTTATTAGGTAGCAAGTTTGAGTGTGACAAGCCTTGGTGACAAATTGTTTGATTGTTAATATAGGCAGTTATCCCAAAATCATCCTGGTAAAGCACATAAAAATTGAGTCTCATGGTCCCTATTAGCACTCTAATGTGACTTCACAATCCTCATTTCAATAAAGAATCTTATTTTAATCCAGATGAGTCATTTTCTTTGAAATATGCTACTGATATTGCAGGAAACTGCACTGTTATTGGAAGGCTGAATCTTAAAAAAAACCCATAAACTATTTACATGCAGAACATTGTAAGTTTGTAGTAAAGATTCACAGTTATGTGACACTGCAGGAGGCTATTAGGAAGTAGTCTAAAGTCCTAGCTTTCAACCCTAATTTCTCCATTTTCTTAAAAGGCTGTACCATGAGGTTCCCCTTTCCAAAGTAGCACTGTAAGAATAATTTATTTGAATACATGAATTCTTTGAATACATGGACTTCACTGGATTGTAGTAATTCAGGGTGTATTGACACCAATGAAGCTAAGCTTTAGAAATGATTTTGGTTGTATTTACGAAGCTATGAAACCAAGCTGACAATGTTGCTTGTCCCTCAGCATGGAGTCAAGAGAAGGCATGCGATGGACATCCTGGCTTTCATACCTCCCCTCTTGCATTTGAGCAGTCGCCTTCAGAAAGACATTTCTAGCTTGGTTCTCACAACAAAGTCTTCCAGAAGTCTCCTTTCAGACTGCATTTTTCTGCAGCTAGATAGGTGCCTAGCTATCTTGGTGCCCAATATCTCACTTTTCACAGTGTAGCACCCAGACCTCACTGGGATTTCCAACCTTGTTGTGTCTCATCAACATGTTTCCAGTGTTCCCAATCTGTGCATCTGGAAAGGTGGCCTTTCAGGAGGAAATGATGAGGAGGAGCAAGCACTTGTGTTTGGAGAGAGGAGAGGGAAAATCATTTTGTTCTATAGAAGAAAGACACTGGAGAAATTAGGGTTGAAAGCTAAGACATCAGAATCTTTTCCAACAGTCTCAACGTGTTCCCAGCAGGATGTTCAGGGTGTATTGTGGCTGAAAACCAAATGGAAAGGAGACAGCTCTCTCTGCCATGGCAGTTGCATCCCCCCCAAGCCCCCGACTTTGCTGTTTACCTTTGTCCAGGACAGGCCCAAAGATTGCCAGGCTGTCATCAATGGTGGTGCAGTTCCAGCGGCGGCCTCGGAACTGGTGCTGGCACTCCTGGATGCCCAGCTTCACGCCCTCTGCCACGCTGGGCATGATTTCTATGTAGTTCCGGCAGAAGCGGAGCTGCTTTGGGACGAGGCCAGGGATGGAGCCGCAGAGGATGGGCTGGGACCCCAGGGAGCTGTACTGCTGGCCTAATGCGAGGGACCTGCAAAGGAGAGAGAACAATGTGAGGGGTGGGAAACCATGTGGCATCATTCTTCCTGCCCCTGCATCGGTCCCCAGGGGAATTCAATGCGTCGGAATGAACCAATAATCCAGGGAGAGTGAGAGTCCTGAAAAAGAGGGATTTTGTAAGAAAACAAGAGACTTCCTACTGAATAGCACAGAAGGACTTTCACACCTGAAGATACCCTGGGCTGCAGAAGTGCATGCATTAATTCATCATTCTTTGTGAACACAGAGGGAGGGATTCAGCTCCCTACATGGAAGCACCTAAAGCCATTCACAGTGGTCCCAAGTATCCAAGACTTCCCCAAGGGGCTGATGGATCTGACAAGTGCCCTGCAGGGAGCTGTACCAAGGGGAGGCTGGGCTGTCAGGAGACACTGACGTGAGGGTTTCTAAAATTTGGCCAGTGTGGAAAGTGTCCTGTCTAATGCTGAGTTCATCACCACGTACTGGAGAGAGGCTGGTCTGGAGTCAGGCATGTCAATGTCATGTGGTGGAGCCTCTCAATGGTCCCAGCAGATGTTGAACCACTATGGTTCCACCCTGACGGACATCAGCCTCTAGCTGCAGCTGTGAGCCAGACAGGAGGCTGGAGATGCATGGTGAAGGTGCTGGACAGCAGATTGGACCAGATATTTTCCTACTGGTCTAAGGAGCTGTCGGGTCCCAAGCAGAAAACACGTGGATCAGATTGTTTATTTGTCCAGAAATGATCAATGCAGGGTGAAGACATATTTGCTGAAAAAGATACCTGCTATTACACAAAAACAATTATAGTCCTGCAGCTACTGCTGCTCAGCATCCAAGCCCCCTTCAGTGTATATCCAGAACATGTGATGTGGTAAAACCTGTGAATGAGCAGGCGGCTCTGTAAAGGAGAAACATGAAGCACTCAGTTGCTTCCAGTACAGAAATCTCAGTCCAGATGTTATCATGGGAAAATACCAAAGAGCTTTGACTTAATATGTCCATATCTCTCTTGTATTGGGGAGTTGAGAGTTGAATAGAGGATGCCAGATGAAGTATCTTTTTCTGCACACTGCTTTGTAGCTGGCCTGCCCTCAGCCTGCATTGCTGTATGAGGTTATCTCTCCCCAGGTTCCTTGGTTGAACTGCACAATATTCCTGTTACATGACATTCCTGTTCCATTGCCCAGTCAGTAGAGGTCCCTTTGAATGGCATCACAGTCTGGGGTATGAACCATTACTCCCAATATTTTTTTATTTCCTGCCCACTCATACCTGAAGAATGCTTGTGAGCTAATCAATCATTTTATAACCACAGTTTAATTCACGTTGGCAGAGACCTCAGGAGGTCTCCAGTCCAATCTCCTGCCCAAAGCAAAGCCAGTTTTAAAGCTAGATTATGTTTCTCAGGGCCTTGTCCTTCTAGAATTTGAAAACAACCAAGGATAGAGATAGCACTGCCTTATGGGACCTGTGGTTGACTATGCTTGTCCTGAAATGCTCATGGTAAAGCAAATGTGCTTATTTCAACAACTGCCAAACATCACTTTTCAAGAGGTTGCAAATGACTCAACAGTTAGTTCCAAATTGGTCATGGCAGCCAGAGAGGCTATTTGCACTAATATATCCTGATATCCAGCTCAAATGCTGAGATTGCACTTGATCAATATGCTGTAGAATTCTCAGCCAATTCCCAGGGTTATTACTTTGGATGTTAAACAAACAGATGGAAATGGCAGAGACCCCTGCCCCAATGAGCTGAGTGTCTTCTGCTGTTTTCCTCACCCCACATCTCACTTTTCCCCAGAGGATGCCTAGGCCTGAGGCACATCCCGTAGAAACATGGGGATCTTCACCAAAACTTGTTGTAGGATAAGCAGGTGCAATAAAAGTTGGTTTGCTGGGAACAATATTGGACAATAAATGGCTCTGGGAGAGCCCTTGTTGCTGATTTGACACCCATAAGTGGTTGCATTAATTGCACCCTAAAGATTGTAGGATGAAAAGGAAATCCCAGGGTACCAGCTATGGAGAGAAGTCACTTTGGCCCATTTCTCCTGCACCTCCCCTGCTCAGCAACCCCACAGCAGGACAGTTCTGCAGCTGCCAACCCTTCAGGGCAGAGCACAGGATATAATTTTCTGACGTCATCTCCAACATGCAGCAGAAGGACACACGGCAGAGGGGCATGAAGATACCGTTGGGAGGCAGCACAGTATAATGGGCAGTGCACGAGGACTGGTTCCCAGAGCTGCTTTGTGCTTCCAGCTCCCACCAACTGAAATTTGATCAGGGAGGACAGCATTGCTGGGAAGACCTGTCAGCTCCAAGCAACAGTTGTGAATAATCTTAACCTCATCATCCATCCAGCAGGGCCAGCAATGGTGGAAACAAGCAGGATGCTTGAGTTGCCTTCCCCCAGACATCTGCTCTCGCAGATGGATTCATCTGTTCAGAGATTCCCTGCTCTGTTTTACACAGTGTTAGAGGTGAAGTCTGTATTCAGTGTCAGAGCTCACAAGGCTGTGCCCATGGCAGAGGTTTCTTGCAGCAGTGGTGGTGGGTTGCCCTGGTGTGCTGGCCGTGGGCTCCACCCCATTTCATGCATGCAGGCTACTGGTGCTGCTGCTCACCAACAAAAATTTTGTCCTAATTTCTTATCTGGATTGTAAATTTGATCTCTGGGGTGCTTTAACACCAGTCGGCAGCTCAGCTCCACCACATCGCTCTCTCACTCTCTCTCCTCAAAAGAACAGGACAAGAAAATACAATGAAAAAAGGCTCATGGGTTGAGATAAGGACAGGGAGATCACTCACCAATTATCATCATGGGCAAAACAGTCTCAGAATAGGGAGATTAATGAAATTTATTGCCAACTAATGACAGATGAGAGTAGTGAGAAACAAAAGGCAAACTAAAAACACCTTCCCCCCATCCACCCGCTTCTACATCCTCCCCATACGCGGTGCAGGGGAACGGAGAATGGGGTTGTGGCCAGTCTATATGCTTCAACTCTGCCACGCTTCATGGTCACTCTCTGCCCCTGCTCCAACGTGGGGTCCCTCCCACAAGATTTCGTCCTTCCTGAACTGGTCTTGTGTGGGCTTCCCACAGGCAGCAGCTCTTCAAGAACAGCTCCCACATGGCTCCATACCACTGGGTCCATCCATCAGGAGCAAACTGCTCCAACCTGGGTCCCCCGTGGGTGGCAGCTCCCCCCAGATCTCCTGTTCCTGCATGGGCTCCTCTCCATGGGCTGCAGCTCTGGCCTGGGGCCTGTTCCTGCGGGGGCTCTCTGTGGGCCGCAGCCTCCTCCAGGCCACGTCCACCTGCTCCACCGGGGGCTCCTCCACGGGCTGCAGCGTGGAGATCTGCTCCATGGGGGACCCATGGGCTGCAGGGGGACAGCCTGCTCCACCAGGGGCATCTCCACACACCACAGGGGATCTTCTGCTCTGTGCATGGAGCACCTCCTGCCCTCCTGCTGCACTCACCTTGGTGGCTGTAGGTCTGGTTCTCTTGACATTTTCTCACTCCTCTCCCCCAGCTGCTGTTGTACAGCATTTATTTATTTATTTATTTTTATTATTAAATTTGCTGTCACAGAGGCACAGCCAAGAACACTCGTTGGCTTGGCTCTGGCCAGCAGCTCCCTTTGGAGCTGGCTGGAGCTGGCCGTTATCTAACATGGTGCAGCTGCTGGACTCTTCTCACAGAGGCCACCCCTGCAGCCCCCCTGCTACCAAATCCTTTCCACGTAAACTCAATGCAATCCTTCTGGGAAACAGACCCCATACTTTCCTGTCTTTCTTTCCGTGCTGGCAGCCTTCCTTGCTATCAGAGCCTACATTTCTCTAGTTCCCATTGCATCAAAGGGAAATAGCCTTGTGTATTTTCCCAGCATCAACTCACAACCCAGACATTTTGCATGCTCGAGGGCAGAAGCCATAAAAGCCAGACAGTTCTGCCTGTCCAGGGGACTCCCTTTCATCCCTTCGTGTACAAGTGTGAGTGGACAGATGTGCACATAAAGGTAGGCTTTTGTGTGTGTGCGTGTGAGCACAGTGCACAACACAAGGAGCATGAGTGCCTATGGCAAACACATGGGAAATCCCTTTTTTCTTTCTTTGCTTAATCCCTTAAATCTCTCAGGAGTCCCGACACTGTCTGTCAGGCCAGTGACTCCTTTTGTTCCCGTCCAATAGCACTAGAGTGAGCAGAGCAGTGGATCCAGCAGCCTCGAGTTGACCCTCCATGACTCCCATTGGTCAGGGATGAACTTTTGAAGCCCTGGAAGGAGATGGACTTGTGCAGACCCTTGTGGATAGGTGCGTCTTTGAAGAGGTGACTCATGTCTTTGCACTGCCTCAGTGTGGAAGATAATGTGCCCACCTCTCAGCTTCATCCTTCCTACAGAGATGACTGACAAACTCATCTGTTTGGCCACTGGTTAGACAAACACATGGTAACGAGAAAAATTTAACCTAATAGTATTTGACAGGAGCAGGATTTGATCAGATTAGAATTGCACCAAAACATATAAGTTTTTTATGTTTGCAGTGTTTGGAATTTCTATGTTATGGAATTTTTAGGATGAACACTAAGAAAGGTTTTCTGCCAGCAATAGCAAAAGCTGCTAGGACATTTCTTTTCTTTTTTTTCTCTCTGCAAGAGAGTGGAAGCTGCATTGCCCAGGGTCCTCAGGACCGCACATTGCCCCACAGGCTGCCTGTCAGAGCTGGGTTTTGCTGCTGCAATGTGCTGTAAAGGAGCTCTTTCTAGCTCCAAACTCAGCAGCTGAACACAGCTGAATCTACATAGCACTTTTTTCCATTTTTTTCCCACAATATTGTGGACCTTACCAGCCCTCTGGCCAGCTGGGCAGGAAAGCTTTGGGCCATAGAACTCCATGTCTCCAAGGGTGCGTCTTGTCCTAAGGAGCTGGACACTCCCAACATTGCAACCCTTCCTTGTCTCCTCTGATAGATCTCCCATGGAAATGTAGACAT